AAATTAATCTCTGGCCAAATTATGGGCTTGGGTATTATAGACAGAGGAGGAGGGAGGGAGGGAGAGAGAGAGGAAGGGAGGGGTTGCGGTTACCACGAATCGGTGGTCGAGAGAGGAGAGGAAGAAGAAGGAAAAGGAGGAAGAGAAGCTAGTGCTGCGCACGGTGGTGCATAGGAGAAGAAGACAATTTCGCAATGGCTCGACGTGTGTTTTACTGTTATGCGACTCCTTCCAGCACAATTCCACCAAATTTGTGCCGCATCTGTGGCGCGAAGTGCTCTGTAGTGAATTTTTTGGCCAATCCGCGTCGGTAAACGGCGAGATCAGCGGCGAGCGGAAGCAGTGCGTGGCGATCCGATGGCAGTGCGTGTGGAGGCGCGCGAAATTTCAGTGGTTGTGCACAGTGAGTTCCACGAGGCCAGTTCGGGTAAGTGAGCTCAAAAAACTCGATGGTTTACCGTTTTAGATTTAGAGTTAATTAATCATATTTAATTTTAATAAATTATTTATCCAGTTTAGAATTAAGAATAAGTCTAGGCACAGGTGTTTGAAATTAAGGGATAACCAAGTCATTACTAACTTGATACGGATATTATTGTAACATGTTGATCTTGTATATCGGAGATAATTTCACATACAAGATTTAGAGAAAAATCAGGTAAGTGCGTAAGCACTTACAAATATAGTTTAATCTTTCTAAAATATCAAAACTGTGACATTTAATAATTGATAATTAGGTGCATGATTCTAACAGAATTTTACTACTGATTGTTGTGTTCTTATTTATGGTTATTACTGAAACTATTGATGAATTGTTTGACTATGTTTTGGTAATTGATTTCGTATATGTACTGGTTGCTATGTAACTGGAAGTATATTAAAAATATGTAGAAAAGTTTAGGGTGATGAATAGTTACAGTATGTGTGTTATCGGTATAGAATATATTAAAAAATAAAAATTAAAAAATTTATTAGTGAGTTAAAATAAATAAATAGACATTAAAAGATTTAGGAAACTCATTTAACTGGTATCACCGAGAGGTGGGTGGGTGTGTATGTGTATAGCCTTTTGGCACGTGAATGTGGTGAATCCTACCCATGGATACGGCTTTACCTAGACGTGGCGAGGCGATAAGAACTGTGAACTGTATATTGTGCACTGCAAACTGTGAACTAAATTGTGACGTATTCACGAGTTAAAGGGAATCCTTACTGCTCTCGTTGATACTTGCAGAAATGGCATCACACGGTGAAAGTATTTTAATATGATATAAACTGATAGAAATGAATAGGAAGTAATGTGTAACATTTATGATACTGAAACACTGAATTAGTATCTACTGAACTACTTACCATCTAAATTGTGATACTGAATACTGAATTATGTTATTTATTGAACTGTTTATACCCTGAATTATGATATTGAAATAATGAATTCTGAATATTTATTGAATAAACTAATTTGTAAAGTTTGGTTAATAAATTAGGGTATAGATACCACGTGTTTTTTGAATTAAAGAGAAAAGTATTTCGAACCATATACGTCGGGAGTTTTATACTTTCTACCAACTTGAACAGATTATTCTATTATTTGTTGACACTTACATGCTTACTGAGCATATTAAGTTCACCATATTTATTGTTAATTTCTTCTAGATCAGAATATTCAGAACCTGCTCCTGAATAGTGAAAGACTTGCTAGGAGATTGTTTAATTTTTATTTTAATTCGAACAGTACTTAATGTTTTTTAGTGAGTATTTATTTTAGAGTTTAGATATGTCTCGCGGATATTAAATATTCTGAGTTAAGTATGCAAGAGATTTATTTTTTATTATTTTAAAATTTGTTATGTTAAGTATCCTTAGTTCATTATAACTACTTAATTAAAAAAAATTAATCATCACAAAATATTTTTTCATTCAAAAACATATTAGACATCTGTGAAACTTCACTCAATTTAATCATTACAGATTCACTAATACACTATTAAGTTAAATTTTTTAATTTTTATTAAATTAAATATTATAAATATGTCATCACCAACCTATAATATACTGATAAAATGACAAAATCTATATTCTTAATAAAATTTAAATTCATAATCTTTAAATGTAATACAAAAATTTAACTACTGTATCATTATTTTATCAGTACATTTTGTATTTCATGTGTTATAAACATATTCCAAGATATCATAATCTTAGTTAGATGGAAATCTTATATGATTTATTATTAATAAAAAATTAACCAAATGAAGAAGATCGAGGGTCCCTTTATTTTATGATGTGCACAAAATTCAATTCAAATGGGAAACTACTAACCATCCAATTTGTTCAAATGGTAACAACTAGTGATGGTGCTTACTAGAGTATTTAATTCCACACACACACATATGTATATATATATATATATATATATTTAATATATGGTTGGGAGCCAACCCACATGATTTATTATTTAACATTTCTTTATGCATTTTAATAGTATCCTATTCTATTATTCCTATGCTAGTTTGAAATGTTATTAAAATGTAACAATTTTCATATAAGTAGATATAATAACTTTATAAAATTAAGAAATTATTCGAAAGAAGAATAAATTACACATAATTTTGTAGGACTAATTATGAACCCATACAAGAAATTTTGAATTTTAATTATCTCTGTTTATCATGTGATATGAATGAAAATTGAGTTAATAAATTCATGAATAATTTTGGAAAAATGGGTTTTAAGGGTGTATCTACCAAATAATTACTTTAAACTAAAAGCAAGTCAAGGGATCTCTAAACTTTAAGCAATTACATACATACATACATATTACATATATATATATATATATATATATATTCTTTCGTGCCGTGAGAAAATTTTAAGCAACATTGTGAAGTAAACATTGGAATAACCTAAAATTTAATGGTAAGGAAAAATTCAAACCCAAAATAATTTGCGAATATCCACAAATTCTTCATACTATAATTTATTATGAAATTCATGATGGGTATGAGACCCAAATGAGAGAGAGAAGAGACATATAAATATTTTTAAGAAATTATAATGAATTGTAAAAATATGGTGGTTATGATTTTTTTTTTTAAAGTAAATATTATATATTTCAAAAATTATGTATCACCTATACACCAATAAAAGTACGATCACATAAAATGTACCGTTTAATTTAAATTTTTAATATAATAGAAATATATATAAATACTCACTATATAATATTTATAATTTTTTTAATTAAAAAATTAAATCGTATTTTTTAATTTAATATAAATATCATAACTATAAAAATTTTACTGCCATAAAATATTTTAACGCTTTAGTATCAAGTACTTAGAAGGAAACTTGGTCTTTTATCAATTTTTAAAAGCAAAAAATGACCAAAAAAATAAAAAGGGAAGTCATCTTGTAATTATTTTAAAATACCAAAATTACATTTTAACTCAAACTTACAATTTTATAGAGAATTATGTAAATATATTTATATAATATTTTTTAATTTATTATAATTAAAAATTATTACCGGAATATATATATATATATATATTTTTGCTAAAAATTTGATAAAAAAAGTCTAGCCCACAAGAAAAATTGGCTTTTAAAACTTTTGAAAAGTAAAAAAAGGACAAAGTCAAAAGAGGGTAATCTTATAATTATTTAAAAAATATCAAAATTATAATTTAATTAAAATTTATAATCTCGTAAAAAATTTTACAAACATGTTTATATAATATTTTTTTAATTCATTATATTTAAAAATCTTAATTCCCTATAGTAGGTATATGATGACCTTAATTGTCACATAGCTACTCATAAGAAAATTTGGCATTTAGACAATTCCAAGAAGCATAAAAAGGAGACGAAATCAAGAAGAGGGTCATTTTGTAATTTTTTATAAATACATAATATACGATATAATTTAAATTTATATTCTCATAAAGATATATATAAATACTAATTATATAATAAAAAAATAGATTTTATTTTCTAATTTATTATAATTAAAAAATTACTATTATAAAATATATCTCAACGAAAAATTTGATAGAAAAAAGTCTAATTTCCTAACATAAAATGTATGATGACTTAATTGACTCACAATAAATGGCCACGATGAAACTTGGCCTTTGGTCAATTTCGGGAAGCCAAAAATAAAGTCAAAAGAATGGCATTCTTGTAATTGTTCACAAATCCAGGGGTAGTTTAGGAAATATCTTACTTCTCATTAAATAATGAGAATGGAAGTCCTTCCCACCCATCCGGTCAACCGACGCGACCAACATGAAACGCGTTTCTATAAATTATTTAATATTTTAATTTTTATAACACGTTAATTTCATTTATTTTTAAAACTTTTAATTTTTTTTATTAATTTTGTTCTAAGAATACGAAATTATTTTCACATTTTAATGTTATTTTTAAATAAAATTATAATTTTAATAATTAAATTAAATGTTAAGAGTGTATGTTTATTTTTTTTTTGTAAATATGTATAAATATTTTTGAAACATTTAAAGACAGACACAATACAAGAAATTCCAAAAAATTATTGATTTTAATATTATTTCTATTTAAATTTAAATTTTTAATAAAATTCAGTATACTAATAATGGTTCGAGATTATTAAAAGACATATAATTTTTTTAAAAAAAATTATTTATTTTAATATTTGAATTCTTGAATATTAATTTTTTTTTTCTTTTTTTAAAATGTTTCTTCTTGATAAAATGGTCATAAATAATTTTTGCTTTTATTTATTATATTGGTAAATAATATATTTAATAACTCTAAAGTGGAAAATTAGTGCAACTTTTTCTTAAATGATTTTTTTAATTAATTAAAAAATAAGAAATAAAAATAAAAGAAAAAAGACACGGTTTGGTGTAAAAAATACAAAAACTGAGCTGTGAAAACAGGAAACAACCAAGAAACACAAAGGTCTGGGAGCAGCCTCCTATATATATATATATATATATGTATGTATGTATATATGTAACCACATGAAATTGCAATCTCCATCCATCAGTCTTCAAAATTTTCTCCCTCCCATTTGAAGGGATCTTTTGCTTGGGACGTCTTCCAGTTAAATTCCCCAAGACGAAACGTCTCCGATTTTCTTCCTGTTTCCTTCCAATTTTCTCGCGCTTTCTCGGCCGAGAAAGTTGAAGAAGAAATCAGTTTACAGCGCTTTTTCTTTTGTTTGGCGATGGGGAAATACGCGGAGATTTTGGATGCCGGAGTGAGAATCGCGGCGAGGTTTCACTCTCATTGTCCGCAAACTGGTCGGATGTATTATCACCCTCCGGCGGCGACTCACGACGACAATCACCATCACCATCATAACCACGACGGAGGAGCTGCCGGCTGCACTAACGCCGGCGCCGTCGCTGGCTGGAGCGGGTCTTGCGGTTCGAAGGTAGCCACGGGGATGGATGTGAAAGAGTTCATTCTTTATTCTGTCTAAAAATTTTGAAACGAAAAATTTATTTATTTTTTTCCCTTTTTTTTTTTAATTGTTCATCGAGTACTTGAGATTCTTCAATGGAGGACATTAATCATATACTCATTTATTTACATATATATATATATATTATTATACATGAGGAGGAAAATATGTATGTTGTATTGTGAATGTGGCAATACAATTGAGATGATGTTAGAAATAAAAATGATTGAAGAAAATGATCATCTTCAAACCCGAAATATCTACTCTAGTTACGATATGAAATTTCTCCTTAATTAATTTTTACCTTAGGTTGGGATTTATTTTACCGTCATCTAACTACAATATGTTCGAAAGTTTTAATTTGATAGTCGTAAAAGATAAATTAGTACGTTTTGTCATTTATGAAATCACAACTAAAAGGGTATTATGCTCCCTTTTTTAGTTTTATTTTTCGTATTTTAAAAATAATTTTATAATCAAAAAATATAAAGTGTTTTTTATAATAATAAAAGTTATTTTTTTTTTCTTTTTTATGTTTAAAGTCAAATGCTATAATGTCTAACTTTTGAAAAATGATTTTGATTTTTTTACTAAAAATTTACATAAGAATTCGAAAGTCAATCTTACTAAAAACACAATTTTTGTTCTTTTCATAATGACAATAATTTTTATAAAATAACAAAATTTTTAATTAAAAATAATTTTTGTGAACTATTATTTTAGCGGTATTTTATAACTTCTAACATAAATTGCAACCATCCTAAACACTTGCTAAATTTTTTTTCAGACAATAAATTAGAGTAAAGCAGATCAAAAGTAGTGTTTTTTAGAAACTCTTTACCCATTTCCAATAGCTTTTTTACTTGAACATTTCAATAATCAATACTTGTATATACTAGAAATCATAATATAATACTTATATGTACAATAATCATAACACGATATCTTAATAGTTCATAAGAAAATATTATTAGAATCAAACATATTCTCAACCATCTATACATGAGATTGGAAGAGTTGAGATACAAAGGCTAGAACCTCCACTAGAGATTCTGAGAATATAGTCCATAAATAGTAAAATAAAATAATACTGAAATTTATAATTTAACAGAAACAGTTTAGAGTTTAGGATTACATTCCTTGTACAGTTTAGTTAAAATGCCCAATATCAGTACTAAAAGGTGGAAAAAAAGAATGAACGGGAAGAGGATACGGCTTACGAGAGCGTTTTTCGGTCTCTGGTGCAATGGCTCAGTCGAGCTTTGCCCTCTGCTTTCTTGGGTTATAGCATTTCCTTGGGGTTTTTTTTTTTTTTTTACATTAAAGATAATTGTAGATAGCTTCGAATGGGAGAACAGGACGAACGAGAGAAAATCGCACTTACCGACATCGTTTTGTGTTTCTGGTGCGGTGACGCCGTCGTCCCTCCGGTGGTTGAGCTTTTCTTCGGCCGCCCTTCTTTTTCTTCTCCAGTCAGAGGTATTTAAACCTCTCTTCCTTTGATCTTGATCATTCATTTATGTTGACGTAGACCAAGGAGAGTTGTTCGATTCGAGACTCGTTTAGGCATATCCGGGTGCAAATATGAACCATCCATCGCGATCCTCCAAAATGAATCTCGCCCGTTCATCGCTCCACCATTGGATCTACACACAATGATCAGAGCTGACCGTTTGAATCTAGGCAGGATTGGGATCTAACCGTCCATGCTAGTGGGAATGGATGTGGGCTGTTAGATCTGTGTGGCACGCGGATCGCCCACCTGGCCTCTCGCATGGAACGTTTGCTGACTCACTGCCATGTGGTGCATCGTGTTGCTAACGTGGCTGTCCTACGTGGTCCATGTAACAGCCCCAGAAATTCATAATGAAATGTATATAAAAAATATCAAATGCGGAAGCGAAGTCAAAATTAGAATAACATCCCTTACACTAAAACCAAAAACGTGCTCACAAAATATAAAAGATCAAACTACCTAAAGGAGAAACTTGAAAGTAAAAGCTACGAATATGACTATGGAGTCTTTAGGCGTCCCCTTCGTCGTCCTCCTGCGGAACCGGCTCGGGAACGATGTCCTCTTGATCTGAAATGATTAAATAAGGAATGAGCTACACTAGCCCAGTAAAGACATCACGATATCTCACCGTCACGGAGGTAAAGGTGGGTAGAAAACACAAAAAGACCAATGGAGCATAATTTACAACAAATCCTTTTATTAATAATAAAACCTTTACCATTCGCTTACCTCGGTGAAATTCATAAAACAATATACGAAAGCAATAACATCATCATCATCATCATGAAACCATATATATAAACTGTATAACATAATACCTATCAAGCTTTTCGTAATTCAATCGTTACACAATATATTTTCCTCATTTACCAGCCCACTAGTATCCATGGGGATCCATAGGGGTCCCGCTACCCGTTAACCCTTAACACTTGAAATCATATTCCAGGACCGTCCCCATACCCCGTCCGGTATGGGCGCCAAACCATAGACCTCATTACCCCGTTCGGTATGAGGGTGAAACGGGCCGTCCCCATACCCCGTCCGGTATGGGAGACCACAATCCCGGTAGGGTTTCCTACGGACCCGGTCTGTCCACCATCTCCCAGGATATCTAGTCAGGCTGAACACATTATACAAGTTCCATTTACATAATCTTTCATTCTCCTTTTTCCCTCAGTCAGCATTATCAATCACATACAAACAAGCAAAACGATAATTTATGCCAAACAGACAACATACAGCATCAATATCCCGGTCATTCAATCCATAATCAATAAAACAGTAAAATATGCACACGAAACTATAAAATGAAAACATCGAACCTCATGCTGCATTTAAAACTGTAAAACAGGCCAAATAACAGTTAACCGACAAACACACTAGACTCGGGCTCCATTAGCAACCTTAAGCAATTTCACACATTCGTTGATTCATGAAATACCGTTTTATCATTTATTGAACATTAAAACCGTGATAGAAAATAGGGTGAGAGGTCCTTACA